TCCACTGAGTTAGGAATTTACAAGTGTCTTAGGGTTGCTATAGCTGTGATGAACACCATGCCCAAAGCAACTTGAGGAGGAAAGGGTTTATTTGGTTTATGCTTCCACACCATTGTTCATCACTGCAGGAAGTCAGGACAGGAACTCAAGCAGGGCAGGATCCTGGAGGCAGGAGCTGATGCAGAGGCCATGGAGGGGTGCTGCTCACTGGCTTGCTCCCCATGGCTTTCTCAGCCTGCTTTCTTATAGAACCCAGGACCACCAGCCCAGGGATGGTACCACCCACCAGGCTGGGCCCTCCCCCATCAAATCACTGACTAGGAAAATGCCCTATATCCAGTCTTATGGAGGCATTTTTCTCAGTTGAAGCTCCCTCCTCTCCAGTGACTCTGTCAAGCTGACACAAAACTAGCCAGCACAACAAACGGAAGTCAGCAAGTGGAGTAAAGGGCTGTTTTCCATCCTTTCGTTTCCCTTCTCCAGCCCTTGGAGGTGAATGTTTCTCCTTCAGTGTTATTATTCTATAGCCACTCAACAAATGTCTGAGGACACTGCTCTGCACACGTTCCAGCACTGAGGATGTTGTCTCTGCCTTCTCACAGTTTGTAGTTCAGTAGGAGAGAGACAAATACCCACAGAAGGAACAGAACGGGTAGTGCCGGAAACGGAAGTCCTGTGAAGGTGAGTGGTTGTGGAGGCCGCTTGAGAGATGAGGAAAGGGCGTTCCAAGGGGTGGACATCCGGGCCTCGGTGGTTTGCAGAGGCCGGCTATGTACAGTTCCTAGGGAAGAGTTGAAAATAAAGAGAATAGGCAGTCCCGAGGCAGGAAGAGAACACAGTCTCTTTAATCAAGCACACAGCCTTTGGTTTCTTCCATATCTGCTTTTATTGAAGGAAATTCCCATGGGAAGGGTTAAATGATAGGTAGTGTGAGAAAGCCTGCACCTCAGGAATTCACCAACCATTAGAGTATGTGATTTCTAGGGCTCATTCCAAACCCACTCTTCTCAGACAGACACCCAGAGTAATAATCATCAGAGCTCCCATATAAATCACAGTGCCCGGTGTCAGCTGCATGCTTTTTTAATTTCTAAGAGTTCAGAGGAATTGTCTTGCTGGCATTTTCTAGATACAGACAGTAAGGCTCAGGGGAGGTGACATGCTGGGCAGGCAGGTCACACGCTCTGCTCCCTGCTTAGATTCGTACAAGTACCAGAAATCCTGCTGTCAGCATGAGCTCATCCACTCACCAGAAGTTAATGAATCAGGACCCTGATTTGGGGTAGATAAAGACATTCTCCCTTCTCTGCTCATGGGGGGTGCTCTTCACACCCTACACCCCACCTGTTCCCAAGGCTAGACAAGAAACCTACCAGCCTCATGAGACTATGCCACCCTGATGCCTAAACTCAGCACTTAATCATGACTGTTATTTTTATAGCATCTATCACCATTTAATTTTTTTATTTTGTGTATACACATGTATGTCCATGCAACATATGTGCAACAGGTCCCTTGGAACTGAAGTTACAGACAGTTGTGAGCTACCATGTGGGTGCTGGGAATTAAACCTGAGTCCTCTGGAAGAACAGCTAGTATTCTCAACTACTAAGCCATCTCTCCAGATCCACAGTTTTAGTAGTATTTCCCTTTCTGGTTGCTTATTGAATATCTGTCTTCCCAACTAGATTGAAAGTTACATGATGACAAGGGGTGAGTGTTAAGATGGATGGATGGATGGATGGATGAATGCATGGATGGATAATTGGATGGATGGATGGATGTATAGATGGATGGATGGATGAATGGATGGGTGGATGCATGGATGGGTGGATGGATGGATGGATGGATGGATAGATGGATGTATGGATGGATAGGTGGGTGGATGGGTGGATAGATAGATGGATGGATGGATGGATAGATGGATGCATGGATGCATGGATGGATGGATGGATGGATGGACCGACGGATGGATGGATGAATGGGTGGATGCATGGATGGACGGACAGACAGACGGATGGATGAATGGGTGGATGCATGGATGGGTGGATGCATGGATGGATGGATGGATGGATGGATGGATGGATGGATGGATGGATGGATGGATGAAGATACTATTCTTTAGGATTGCATGTACTTGAGCATTATCATCTCAAGTTGACATAATGCTTTACATTGCTTCTTAGCCTTGCTCCTCCATCATTGTATGAACAATCTCAAACCCAGAACTCTACCTGAGTCCAGTGCAGCACTGGCACTGGCACTTCCTGCTGGCTGGGGTCCTTTGTTTGCTCTCTATATATTAGGGTAGGCATGGAAAGACTTCTCTGGTGCTTTTAGAACCGTGTATATACATGTTATGCATGTGCGTTTGTATGTGTGTGGGTGCACCTGGGTCTGTGTGTGCGTGTGCACAGTATTCGCGCTTGTGGAAGCCAGAGGTTAATGATGAATGGCTCCTGCATCACTCTCCACCTTATGTATCGAGGTGGGGTCTGTCACTTGAACCCAGAGCTCATCTGTCGGCTTGCTCTGACCCTGTCTCCTCTGGAGCAGAGCCCTGGGACACAGGTGAGCCACTACACCGGTTAATATGGGTTACGAGAATCCTGCTGTTGCTTCTCTGCACCTGGTACTCTTCTCCCCCCTCCCTCCCTCCGTACTCTTACCTCTGCTCTGAGACCCTACAAGCTTCTACTGGTTACGCCTCTTTTTCATGTTACCAGTTCAGTCTACTCTACTAATGTGAATATCAAAAGCAGACAGGCACACAAAAACACAAAAGACCACTAGAGAGAAGCATTTTATTACAGGGAAGGTAGCACAGGGGAATGTCTCCCAGTGAACTGAATAGTCTACTTACTCAGCCAGAAAAGGGGTGTTGTATTTGTACCAATCACAGCAGACCTTCATGAAGCTCTGCCAGGTGTGGTGGTATTGTGTTCCCCAAAATATTGTGTACCCTAATAAACTTATCTGGGGTCAGAGAACAGAACAACCACTAGATACAGAGGCCAGAAAATGGTAGCACACAAGCCTTTAATCCTAGCATTCCAGAGGCAGAGATCCATTCGGATCTCTGTGAGTTTAAAGCCACACTAGAAACAGTCAGGCATGGTGACTCACGCCTTTAATCCCAGGAAGTAATGGCAGAAAGCAGAAAGGTTTTTAAGGAGTGAGGATGAGGAACTAGAAGCTGGTTAAGCTTTTAGGCTTTTGAGCATCGGTTCAACTGAGATTCATTCTGGATGAGAGCTGAGAGGCATCCAGTCTGAGAAAACAGGATCAGCTGAGGAATTGGTGAGGTTGTGAGACCAAAATGAGCCATCTTAGAAATAAGACCAAAATGCTTTCACCCTAAAATTAAGGCCTAAGATTTCTCCTTTTGGGAATAGGCCATTAGTTACTGAAACCAGTTCAGATTCCAGAAACCAGGAAGTGTAAAACTACAGAGTCACAAGATAGTCACGAGGTAACGCCTGCCGGACTATGGAATGTCCTCTCCCTGGTTTCCAGGGTAACTGACCACAGAAATGCCCCCACCTGAGGGCAGCCAATGAGAAATGGTGGCAGGCAACCACTCCCTTAGAAGTAATTTCTAGAAGTCCCTAGAAGCGAGCCAGTCAGAATTGTACCCGTACTAGCACCCCTAAATGATGTAACCTTGTGACTTTTCCCTTTAAAAGCTGAGCTTGCAGACAGGTGGGCACTTCCTTCAGCCTCCACCACGTTGGATGTATTGGACAAAGTCCTTGCCTAGGCTTGTATATCCAGAATTAAACCTTGCTTTTGCATTCCGGCATGCTCGTCTTTGGTGGTCTCTCTGGGGGTTACGATCTGGGCACAACAAGGTAAGGTGGCTGTGGCTTGTTCTGCTTCTCTGATCTTCCAACGTTCACCCCAATACCTGGCTTCTGGGTTTGTTTTTACAAGACCTGTTAAGATTCGTGCTACAGCTAGGGTGGGTGGAAATGGCTTCAGAGAGAGTGTCGCAAGCTGTTGGAAATAGTGGTGGCTGAAGTTTCACTTTTTGAAGCTGGAGTTGGGGAGGGGAGGGGAAAAGGAGAGGAGGATTGGAGGGGGAGGAGAGAGGAAGAGAAAATACTGGAGGAGCCGTCTGTCTCATAACTGGCCCTAACACTTAACTAAGGTTTAGTTTCCTCGGTCATTAAGTGAACATTCATTCAACATAATATGCTACCCTCGTCTCTGGACAGAACAGCAAGCAAAACCAAAATCACTGCCCTCGTGGAATTTTACATGCCAGGGTAGATGGTGTGTGTGTGTGTATATATATATATATATATATAGGATGGATGGATA